CGATCCCCAGTAGGGGGTGTGCAGGAGGCAGCCAAACAATGATTCTCTCTCATCATTGATGTTTCTATCTCTCTCTGCTGCTCCCTTCTTCTCTGAAACCAATAAAAATATATATATATTTTTTAAAAAGGCAAAAGACAAACTGGGAAGTAATATCTGCAGCACACAAAGCAAAGGGTAGGTTTCTTTCATATGTAAAGAGTTTGTAAAAACCAACAGGAAATGGCGTGAACCCATCAAAACAGAAATGCAAAGAACATAAGCAGGCCAGTCACAAGAGAAGAAATACAAATAGCCAATAAACACATGAAAATAAAATCGAAGTCTGTCTTCACTCACAGCAAGAAACGCCAATTAAAACCCCCAGATGCAGCTTGCTGATGCATCCAACTGGCAGTCACGTTTTTGCACAAATGACGTGTGGCCCTGGCCAGGCCTGGGGGGAAGCCTGTGGTCTCCTCCCTGCAGGAGGGGTGTGGCCGCCCTGAGCACCCTGAGCCCTGGGCAGCCCCATGGTCAGTTCTCTGTTAAACCCGCAAAGACGGATGGAACAATGGCATACTTTCCCGTCTAGAAATGCCCGGGCGGTCACACAGCAGACTGCCAGCGAGCACGGCCCCTCCCTGGATGAGACGTCTCTCTGTGACGCCTTCCAGTTAATCATGTTTGAGGATCAAAATGAAAACACAAAGAGGCCCAGTTTGGTATCAAAGTCCTGCTGGCCCCCAGACCCCACGGGTGAAAGTTTCTGCCAAAGGGGAAAGGCCAGCTCTCAGAAGCCGAATCACCAGGACTTAGAACAACTTTCATCAAGCAGCTTTTGTCTGGGTAATAATTAACTTTCTGTCCCCTGAAGCACGTCGCCCGTCAGCCTACACAGGGACCCCTGTGCGGGGCGGGCCAGCTGCAGACCGGCTGTAACGTTAGCATTGAGTCAGCTCGAACCGAGGGTGCCCACGCCGTGTTTCCAGGAGGCCGGGGTCCAGCTAAAGGTTCCACGTGTAGGGGCCGAGGGCCCAGGACAAAGAACCCACCCAAGTTCTGGGGTTGGCCTCCCCCCAGATGAAGGCCAGGGTCCGGCCCAGGGAGTGGGGACCTCCTGGGGACACAGTGGAAACAGCACTGCTGGGGAAGTCCTGCCCACACCACTCTGAGTGGCCGCTGAGCAATTTGGTAAAATAATAACAACAGCACAATTGATGCTGGCACCGGGCATGAAGCCCTGGCCCGGCCCAGCGGGTGTGCAATGAACCAATCAAAATAGAAATGCAAAGAACCTAAGCCAGTCACAAAAGAAGAAATACAAATAGCCAATAGACACGTGAAAAAAAATCAAAGTCTGTCTTCACTCACAGCAAGAAACGCCAATTAAAACCCCCAGATGCAGCTTGCTGATGCATCCAACTGGCAGTCACGTTTTTGCACAAATGACGTGTGGCCCTGGCCAGGCCTGGGGGGAAGCCTGTGGTCTCCTCCCTGCAGGAGGGGTGTGGCCGCCCTGAGCACCCTGAGCCCTGGGCAGCCCCATGGTCAGTTCTCTGTTAAACCCGCAAAGACGGATGGAACAATGGCATACTTTCCCGTCTAGAAATGCCCGGGCGGTCACACAGCAGACTGCCAGCGAGCACGGCCCCTCCCTGGATGAGACGTCTCTCTGTGACGCCTTCCAGTTAATCATGTTTGAGGATCAAAATGAAAACACAAAGAGGCCCAGTTTGGTATCAAAGTCCTGCTGGCCCCCAGACCCCACGGGTGAAAGTTTCTGCCAAAGGGGAAAGGCCAGCTCTCAGAAGCCGAATCACCAGGACTTAGAACAACTTTCATCAAGCAGCTTTTGTCTGGGTAATAATTAACTTTCTGTCCCCTGAAGCACGTCGCCCGTCAGCCTACACAGGGACCCCTGTGCGGGGCGGGCCAGCTGCAGACCGGCTGTAATGTTAGCATTGAGTCAGCTCGAACCGAGGGTGCCCACGCCGTGTTTCCAGGAGGCCGGGGTCCAGCTAAAGGTTCCACGTGTAGGGGCCGAGGGCCCAGGACAAAGAACCCACCCAAGTTCTGGGGTTGGCCTCCCCCCAGATGAAGGCCAGGGTCCGGCCCAGGGAGTGGGGACCTCCTGGGGACACAGTGGAGACAGCACTGCTGGGGAAGTCCTGCCCACACCGCTCTGAGTGGCCGCTGAGCAATTTGGTAAAATAATAACAACAGCACAATTGATGCTGGCACCGGGCATGAAGCCCTGGCCCGGCCCAGCGGGTGTGCAGTGTTCATGGGGTACAGCTTATCCCCAGAAGGGCCCAGGCCTGCTTCCACCCTCTGCTGTTGCCATCTTAAAATTCTTAATTATGGACCACAGGGCCCTTCGCTTGCCTCGTGCAGATGGTGGCAGTTAGAAAGATGGTCCCAAGGGGGCCGCAGAGAGACCCCAAGGGGCCAGAGCACCAGGGAATAAGACACATTGGGGCCAGGCAGACCCTGGGGCCTGAAGCCAGGTAGGGACCGATGGCCACTCCCCCAGGGCTGGTCCAGTCCTCAAGCAGCAGCCACAGTTACCTGGAACTTGTCGGGGTCTGCTTCTCCGGCCTGAGCCACAAAGAAGCCGGAGCCGGGCTCCAGCTCCAGGGCACGTGGGGACCGCGCCAAGGACGCCCCCTGGATCTTCTCGCAGTCCACAAAGAGCGTCACGGTGTCATCGTCCACACTGAGGGCAAAGCGCGTCCACTGGCCGGTGAAGGCGGGCAGGGCAAAGCTGGCCGCCGTGCGTGTCCGGGCCGCGCCCGGCTCGGTGTACAGGAGCTGGATGTACTGTTGGCCGTCACTCACGCCCGACAGCTTCACGCCCACGGAGACCACTGCCTGGGCTGCATCCGTGATGGCGAACAGCACCCCCGCGGCCTCGGTGGCCGGCTGCACGTGGAAGAACAGTGAGAAGTCACGGAAGAACGGGCTGGGGAAGTGGTACCGGGCCACCTGGCCGCTGTTGGCATCTGGACCAAAGACGTAGGCTGGTCCCACGTCGGGGTCGTCAATCTGGGTGACCTGCTGGGGCGGGGGCTCCCCGAGCAGCTGGAGGAGCCCCACCTCTGTGACCACTCTCTCTGTGAAGAGGAAAAAGACACCTTGTGAGGCTGTGTGCAGAGCACAAAGGGGAAACCGAGTCACGCCCCTGGCACCTGCTCTGCTCCTCTGGGCTCTGCTGGCCGGGGAGGTGGACGGATACCCCATCTTATCCAGACACACATTGGGCCAGAACATGTTGGCCATAAACCACTAGACCATCCCCTCAACAAGCTTGCAGGCCGTGGGGTGGGGGGAGGGCGGGCAGGATGCAGCAGGGACCATCCCAAACCAGCATGGCAGGAGGAGGGGCAAGGATCCTGCTGTGAAGGGGTCGGGGGTTCTGAGCCCACCTGCAACCTTGCCCCGCACCCCGTCCTCATCCCATGTCCTCACCCCATCACTCATCCTCCCCACGCTCGGACCCCCCGCGGGGATCCACAGGAGCAGGGCACGGGCAATAGGGAAAAGAAAGCTGTGCACCGGGCTGTCCCCTGCAGCTTCACCCTCATCAGAACCAGCCTGGAAACACTCCTAGAAGAGCAGAACGTGAGAGGGGCTGTGCCTCCTGGAGGACTTGGCTTAGCCAGATCGGTCCTGTGGTTTCCATGTCTGTGCTGACACTCAATACAGCAACTCACACCCAGTCCCCCAGGTTGGCTGGGGCTTGGATGTGACAGCTCGGCTGAGGCTGTTGCATGGGGCTTCTGGGAACCAAGTCAGCACGGACCAAGGGTGCTCACAGTGTTTCCAGGGGGCGGGGGTTCCAGCTGAAGGTTCCAAGTGCAGGGGCTCTCCCCCCTCCTGGTGTGTCCACACTGGGGTGACCTGGAGAGCAGCCTCGTGAGGGGGGACCACTGGCGGGAGGTCTGCTTTCTCAACCCACAGATGCTCAAGCTAGCGTGGTCCCACCGGCCCCACCTGCCTGCTAAACACCCGGGAGGCTCATGCGTCCCTTCCATTCACGCCCCTCAGGAGCCCACAGGCAGAACCGCTCGTGTGTCCTCCTCCTGGGCCATCGGTGTCACAGAGCATGATAAGCTAGTGCAGTCCCACCGGCCCCACCTGCCTTCTAAACACCCAGAGGCTCATGCGTCCCTTCAATTCACGGCCCTCAGGAGCCAACAGGCAGAACCGCTCGCGTGTCCTCCTCCTGGGCCATCGGTGTCACAGAGCATGAGTTCTGACTGACATCCCCCACCACTTGGAGGCCCCTCGGTGGCAGGAGCCCAGGTGGGGACACAGCCAGGGTGCTGGGTTCTCTCCCCTCATTTCTTGCCCATCAGGAGGGACCAGAGGCCCTGCTGTCCATGATGCTGACCCTGGGCCGGAGCCGGGCCTGACCTCTTCTCTGTATCGTTCCAATTTTAGTATATGTGCTGCCGAAGCGAGCACTCTCCCCTCATTTCTTGTCCATCAGGAGGGACCAGAGGCCCTGCTGTCCATGATGCTGGCCCTGGGCCGGAGCAGGGCCTGACCTGACCGTGTGCCTGGACCTACCCAAGCCCTCGCATGCAATACGGAGCATGTGGGGGCCGCTAGTCTCAGGCTCACATGCCCTAGGAGCCAGGAGTGCCGAGCGTGGGGGCAGAGAGCCAGGCTACGTCCCCACGCAGCGTGTGGTCACTGCCGGACACAGGAGGGCAGGCACCAGCTCAAGGAGAGACCAGTGCATGCATGACTTCCCCGCACATCCACTTTGCCTGGCGGAGCCTGACTCTGCGGCCAAAGTTGGCCAAGAGCCCTGACCCAAGGCCTTTCCTCTCAAGACCCCCATCTACAGTCTGGGTGGGGTCCACCTCCAAAGTGTGAGTCACACAGGAGAGAGATGCTTCTGGGAGGCAGCAGTGATGTGTGGGGGTCCCGAGGAAGGCTGCGTGGAGCCACCATGCGTGAGTGTGACAGTGAGTGAGTGTGAGTGTGTGTGTGTGAGTGTGCATCTATGTGACTGCTGTGTGTGACGGGCACCTGGGTCTGGCCCACCAGCAGGGCCAGGCTGACCTGGGTCTTTCTGGGGAGGCACAGGGAAGAAATGCTGACCCCAAATTCCTAAGGCAAGTTGTCTTATAAGAGTCCCTGAGGAAAAAAATAAATAAAAACAGGAGAAAGGGCCACCGCAGGGGGGCATGCACTGTGGGTACCTGCCAGGGTTGGCCCCCAGGGTCAGCGGTGTGGCTCTGCATGGCCCTGACCGCCCGCCATGTGGCAGCGCTGCCAGCCAGCCAGGGCTCCCACTGATCTCACGCTCCCTGAGGGTAAGACCCTCATGCAGACGGGAAGTGGGGCAGGCACAGGGAAGCACGATTTCCTCCACCTGATAAAGAATATCTACAAAAAACCTACAGCTAACATCATACTTAACGGTGAGAAACTTGAACCTCTCCCACTAGGATCAGGTACAAGGCAGGAATGTCCCCTCTCTACTTCTTTTCAACATCATACTGGAAGTCCTAGCTAATGAAATAAGAAAAGGAAATAAAATGCACAAATTGGGAAGAAAGAAATAATACTGTCTGTTTTAGATGATATAATCTATAGATATGTATAGATGATACATATAATCATCTATGTAGAAAATTCAAAAGAATTAACAAACAAACAACCCCCCCCACACACACACACACACACCTCCTGGAGCTAATACGGTAAGTGATCATAGCAAGGTTATGGGATACAGGATTAATATACAAAAGGCAATCTGTTTTCTACATACCAGCAAAGAACAAGTGAAATTTGAAATTAAAAACAGAATACTATTTACAGAATACCAAAATTAAATACTTAGATATAAATCAAACAAAATATGTACAAGATCTACATGAGGAAAACTACAAAACTCTGAAGAAATCACAGAACTAAAGAAATGTAGATATATATATTCCATGCTCATAGATAAAAAGACTCAATATTGTCAAAATGTCAGTTCTTCCCAACTTAATCTATAGATTCAAAGAAATCTCAATCAAAATCCCAGATAGTTATTCAGTGAATATCGACAGATTCTAAAGTATATGGAGAGACAAAGACCCAGAATAGCTAATGCAATTCTGAAGGAGAAAAACAAAGTTTTTCTAAACCTACAGTGATCGAGACTCTGTGGTATTCTTGAAACAACAAAGTGATCAATGGAACGGAATAGAGAACTCGGGAAGAAAGCCACATAAATATACTCAACTGATCTTTGACAAAAGAGCAAAGGCAATAGAATGGAGTAAAGATGATATTTTCAACAATTGGTGCTGAAACTGCTGAACACCAATGTGCAAAAAGTTACATCTAGACACGGACCTCATACCTCTCACAGAAATTAACTCACCGTAGATCACAGACCTAAATGTAACATGCAAAACTATAAAACTGCTAGAAGATAACAGGAAAAACTCTGATGACCTTGGATATGGCAATGACTTTTTAGATATAACACCAAAGGCACACAATCCATGAAAAAACATCATTGATAAGCTAAACTTCATTTAATTTCCTTAAGATTAGAAACTTCTGTTATGCAAAAGGCACATTAAGACAGTAAGAAGACACACCACAGACTGGAGGGAATATTTTCAAAACATGTATCTGATAAAAGGAGGTACATCTAAAATATACAAGAACACTCAAAACTCAACAATAAGAAAACAAACAACCCGATTGAAAAGTGGGCCAAAGATCTTAACAGGCACCTCACCAAAGAAGAGGTAAATATGGCAAATAAACATATGAAAAGATGCTCCACATCACATGCACCAGGGGGGTGCAAATTAAAACAACCACGAGACACGACTTCACACCTATTAGAAGGGCCACAATCAGGAACACTTGACAACCAAGAGCTGGCCAGGGTGTGGAGCAACCGGAACTCACAGTCACTGCTGGTTCCCACCGGGTGCAGCCACTGTGGGAGACAGCTGGGTGGTTTATTATAAAACTAAACATACTCTTACCCTATAATCTAGCAATCACACTCTTTGGTATTTACCCAAAGGACTTGAAAACTTATTTCCACACAAAAACCTGCACACAGATGTGTGCAGAAGCTTTATTCATAACTAGAGGCCTGGTGCATGAAATTCATGCACTTGGTGGGGGGTCCTTCAGCCCCATCTGCACCCTCTTGAAGTCCGGGAGCCCTCGGGGGATGCCTGACTGATGACTTAGCACTTCTGTGGAGGCAGGAGAGGCTCCCGCCACCCCCACTGCACTCACCAGCCATAAGCCCGGCTTCTGGCTGAGTGTGCTCCCCCTGTGGGAGCACACTGACCACCAGGGAGCAGCTCCTGTGTTGAGTGTCTGCCCCCTGGTGGTCAGTGTGCGTCATAGTGACTGGTCGTTCTGCCGTTTGGTCAATTTGCATATTAGCCTTTTATTATATAGGCTTGCCCAAACTTGGAAGCAACCAAGATGTCTTTCAGCAGGTGAATGAGTAAATAAACTGTGGAACATTTAAACAATGGAATATTATTCAGTGACTAGAGGCCTGATGCACAAAATTCGTACAAGGGGCTCAGCCCAGTTCGTCCGGACGGTCGTTCTGCTGTTCAGTATAATTAACATATTAGCTCCTTATTATATAGGATAAAGAGAAATGAACTATAAAGCCATAAACGACATGGAGGAAACGTTAATGCATACTCAGTGAAAAAAGCCAGTCTTTAAAAAAGCTACATCATATATTATTCCAACTCTATGACGTTCTAGAAAAGGCAAAACTGTGGAGACAGTAAAACGTTCAGTGGTTGCCAGGGATGGGGCGAGGGCCGGATGAACAGGTGGAGAAGAGAGGATTTGTTTAGGGCGGGGAAACCACTCTATATAATACTATAATGATGAACACATGCCATTACACTTTTGCCCAAATCCTCGGAACATTCAATATAAAATGGAGGAGGCTGAGTGTGTTGGGGGGCGGGGGGGAATGGGGGCATATAGGAAATCTCTGTACCTTCCCCTCAATTTTGCTATGAACCTGAAACTGCTCTTTAAAAAAAAAAAGTCTTAAAAAAAAAAAACAGGCAAAGGGCAGGAGAAAGTAAGCAAACATTGCAACACGACTCTCAGATAAAACAGAAGTCAAGTTGAAGCCATGAAGTGGGACAAGGGGGTGATACGTTTAGTGCACCGACACGTAATGGGCCCGGTACCACCCACATGCACCCGACCCCCCAATACACACGGCACACGGCGAGGAGGGTGGGAAGCTCTCTCTCAGGATCCGGCCCAGAGGCACCTGCCTGCCCCACTCTCCCGTTAGATGGAGCACGACCTCCCCATTGACACACTCGGAGAGACTCCCCGAACCTCGGAGTGAAGAGCACGCCACGCCTGTCGCTTCATTACCTGCAGCAGCAATTGCACAGGCAAGCGTCTGGGGTGGGTAAAGAACCTCATCTCAGTATCAAAGAGAACACACACCTCAGGGCCATCTGCTGCTCAACACCCGACTGAAAGACTAATAAGTATGATGGGCAACTGGAGCACCCATGTCACTGGGTGGGGGCACCACGGACACGTGACACGATTCTAATGTCCAAATCTGACTTCACATCAACGCCACCCACAAAGGCCTCCGTGAGCGATTTCTGATGATGTAGAATCAGCGGTTCTCAACCTGTGGGTCGCCACCCCTTTGGGGGTCGAACGACCCTTTCACAGGGGTCGCCTAAGACCATCGGAAAACACATATATAATTACATATTGTTTTTGTGATTAATCACTATGCTTTAATTATGTTCAATTTGTAACAATGAAATTGGGGGTCACCACAACATGAGGAACTGTATTAAAGGGTTGCGGCATTAGGAAGGTTGAGAACCACTGATCTAGATGAAGGCCCAAAAGACATCCTCATTCTGGAGCCTGTGACGATGACTCCACGGGGCCAACACAACTTTGCAAACGTGATTGTGGTGATGGCCCTTAAGATGGGGAGGTTGCCCCAATCTAACCGCATACACCCTTAAAAGCAGAGCACCTCTCCCGCTGGGGCAGAGAAGGCTGTGATGAGAGAAGAAGAGACCCTGAGATGGGCCTGGCTGACCTTGCTGGCTTTGAAAATGGACAAGGGGCCATGGGCCACGGGCCACGGGCCACAAATGTGGGCAAGGGCGGGAACAGAATCTCCCTGCAGCCCGAGGAGGAACCGGCCCTGACACCCTCATTCGAGTCCAGGGGGAGGACCTCTGACGTCCGACCCCAGGAGTTAAGGTAACACAACTGCCTGGTTGTAAGCCACTAAGTGTGGGGTCATTTGTCACAGCAGCCCCAGGACACTCCTACACACGCATCTATACCAACACACTGCGGGGACGGAGGACGCCCATCCCTGAAGGGCTTGGGCTGTGTTCAGCCCTCTCTTGTGTAGCTTGGATCCTGATGACAGTGTCCACAGCTAGTTGTGGGATAAAAACCTGGCACAGGAGAGAAGCAGCGAGGGCAAGACGTGGGGAGAGTGGTCCCGGGTGAGGGCAGAGGAGGAAGGCAGTCCCCCCACGAAGCAGGTCTGCAGAACCTGCCCCTTCCAGGAGGGGCTGCCTACAGACACCTGCCCCTCTCACCCCCAGCCCTGTCCCTCTGACCTGAGCTCCCTCCTTGCTAAGGGGCAATCCCCTACTGGCCCTCCTAGTGTGGACACAGTGAGGACCTGGGACCTGCGCCTGCCCTCCCCAGGGTGGGGCCTCACCCACTTTTCTCTGTGGCCTGAGGGACACGTTCACAGATGGCAAGACCCTGAACCTAGTGCTCAACAGTGAGCTGACCGACCGCCTGCTCCAGCTCCAGCACAGGGCTCCCACCGTGGCCTTCTCCCTCCTGACCACCTCCCCACGCCCAACTACTGGCTGGACTGCCCCAGCTCCTCCCCCACGCCGCTCTCTTTGCGGGGCAGAAAGGAGCAGGTACAGGGGAGGCCCTTCCGGAGGGTGGACAGAGCTGGGGCCTCAGGCTGGTGTGCTGGGACCAGGTGACCCACCCACACCCTACTGGCCCAGCACGAGGGGCATGGGGCCAGGTCCGCCAGGGCCTGCAGCCACCTGCAGGGCACCCTCAGGAGGAAGGATGGGAAAGGTGGTGGGCAGCCGAGACCCTATGGGCAGTGCTGGACAGGTCCTGGGAAGGAAGCAGCACCCGGGCTCATGTCTGCCCCTCCCCCACAGAGATGCCCCCTGACACACTCACTCACAGCCCAAGGACCTCACGAGGCCAATGATGGTTGTTGCATCTCAGCACCACACTCATCAGCCCCCCGACCCCCCATCACGGGGTGGGGAGGGGGACATTCACCAATACAGGAGAGTGGCTGGGGCCTTCCTGGTCCCTCCGCTCCCCACCTGGCCTTCCTCCTCCTCCGCCTGCCCCCAGCATGCAGGGGTGGGAAGGCCAGGTGGTGGGTGGTCCTCACTAAAATGCCAGAGGAGGGGGGAATGCCTGGGGACCCTCCCCAGCCGGGCCACACCAGGAGGGTCCCTGCTGAGATGAGCCGAAGCCCACCGCCAGCCCGAGGGGGCGGGAGCGAGCAGTGAGCGCTGACGGCAGATTCCCCCAGGACCCTGCTGGGAACACGGCCTCCCTCACACGCGGGGATCCTGCCAATGGTGCAGATGTCCAGTGAGGAGTCCTCTTTAGGCCACTCAGCTGACCAGGCCAGCTGCGGTCAGAGAGATTCCCCGCTCCCCCCACACACACCCACAGGACACCCGGGCCTTGTCCGAGGCCTAGCAGCTGGCAGAGGAGGAGGAGGAGGTGGAGTGGGGAATGGCCAGGCTCCTCTACATGGAACCAGGGACCCCGGGCAAGCCACTCCCTGTGGGACGGCCCCTGCCACACACACTCGGAGGGGACAAGGTGAGGAGAAGGCCCTGGCCAGCCCAATATTCGGGTGTTCCAGGCTCCACATATGGATGGGGCGCGGGAACGTGCAGCTCACTGTGGCCCCCAACCCTGCACGTACCAGGCCTCCCAGCACAGGCCCTGATGGGCTGTTCCTCTGCCGGACACACTCCGGCCACTCCTGCTGGAGAGCAGGGCCCAGCCCCCGTCGCTGCCGTCCTCCCTCCCGTCCAGCCTCTGGTGTGCCCCTTCCTTGGGGCTGGGCACCACCCATCATTGGCACTTGCTCCTGCCCTGGCTGGGCCTGGCACAGGGTGCCAAGGAGCCACCCACACAACCCTCAGGGGCCCAGTAGGGGGACACCCCCTTGAGATCCAGTGCAGCCACCCCACCCCCATTGCCCAGCTCCAAAGCCCAGTGCCTGCAGGGACGGATGAGTGGGCAAGGCTGCTCCCCACAGAGAGGAAGGGGAGGGGACACGCAGAGCCCACACAGATGGGGCCTCTAAGAGCAACCAGGGTGCAGGCTCTGCTCGGGGGCCGGGCCCCACCGTGGAGCTGGGGGCTGGGAGGGCTGCGGCTGCCCTCCCTCTCCCCACCAGAGGAGCAGAGATGTGCTCTGGAGCGCATGGCCCCAGGCTGGGGTGGCCTCACATGAGTGCCACAGACTCACCGCCTGCTGGCACGGCTTGCCCCTCCCTGTGGCACCCACTCCCAGCCCCCTCCCCCCAATCAGACTGGAGCAGCAGCCAGAAGCAGGAGGGAACCCGGCTTCCCCTGGCACATCATGTGCGTGCCCTCAGCCTCCCTTCCATGACGGGGTGTCTCAGAGCACTCGTGAATGAAAATGCTTGGGCAGGGGCTGCTCCCCATGCACTGCGGTTTCACGCACAGAACCAGACCCCAGCCTCCCCCCAGCCAAGGAGGTGTGGCACTCCTGCCTCCTGAGGGCCCACAAAGGCCAGCACCGGGGGCAAAGGGGCCTATGCCAGGTTCACCCTGGCCAGGCTGCACGAAAGAGCAAAATGGAAAGGGTGG